TATATATATGTGTCACGTGACACACGTATAAACAGTAATAGCAATATCGAAGCAAATTCGAGAAACGTACTTTTAACAGGACCGCGGTTTTGAAGTGTGAATTTGAACTAATGGCCCATGCAGGCGTTGTATATCGTACAACAGTTTACGTCATCGCGAACAGCCACGTCGAGTGGAATAGCCGCGTGATGCCGTAGTAAATTTCGCGGGTATACCGGACGCAGGTCCTATTTGCGCCAGCGCAAGATGGGGAGAGAATGTTCCTCATCGTCGTCGTCGTCCAGAAGAGCGGGACGATATAACCTGTTGCTGTCGAGGGCATAAAGGACGGCGGGAGAGGAGAGTGGGAAGGTACTTTATATCCATCCACCTCGTAAAACGTAATGGTTAAGTGCGCCGCAGATATGATCGGCGCGAGCTATAGAATGAGCAAACGCGGCACGTCACACCCGCATAAAGGACTATCGTGCGCGGGCATAGATCCCCCCCCCCCCTCTGTCTCTCTCGCTCTTTTTTATTCTTTCCTAAAGCTCTTATCATTCGCGCGAACGGACACTTCGCTGCAGCGAGAGATTTCTCCTGGACCACCGATGCGACGTTACTTTAAGATAATCGGTTCTTAAAATCGTTTTCTTGGGAATCCTTTTAAAATTTCAACCGCATATTGATGGAGATACCAATCAAGTTAAAAAACAATTGACCGTCCGAAAGTCGAGATATTCGGAACTTAAGTTGACACTTCTCACACACGTTCCTTTTTGCGATTGATGTACTATTTTCAATTTCTACTGTTAATTTTGTCCAAATTACACTCAGGGTTTTAGTGGAAAATTACTGTGAAAACCGGGCACTCTACGGCTGCCTTAATTCTTCGGCAAGTCTCTCGGTGGCCTCTCTCTCGAGGGAGAGAGACGTTCTCGAGGATACTACTCGGAGCCCTCGTATTCATCGGAGAGCGCGCGATGTTCCGTGTCGCAAAGCTTCTCGCAATATCGCGATATACATATTGAGACGAGGTAGGAGGGCTCGACGAGAGGCCGATGATGGTAGCGCATCTGCGCGGTTTCCGCAATGCCGAACGGTCCGGCCGCTCGGAGAAGAATGCACATCCTCCTCTCGTCAGCCGCGGCTGTCTCGCGCGCCGAAGGTAGAACTTTCCTCCACGGTTGAGCCGCTGATAATAATAGATCGTCAGGCACAATGGAGATTCGTGAAAGGCCTGGCTGTCTGCGTTTGCCTTAAATGCCATGTATTAAGCGCGGCCGATCACAAAGAAATGCAGGTACGAGCGTCTCTCGCTCTTGCGTCGCTCTCTCGACAGCTGACGGGAAGGATGACGAACGCCCGAGTGCGCGCGCGCGCCTCCGGGAGTTGCCTCGTTGACTCTCACTTTTCTCTCGGATATGGGTCGTCGTCGTCGTCGTCGTGGCGCGACGACCGTGTCCTGAGAATTTAGAACTGCTGGGCGTGTGCACGCGCATAAACAGACGCGGCAACAAGTCGAAGACTCCGGGTTGTCCAAGTGAATGTTCCTGTGGGGCGACTCGAAGCTCGACTCTTTGCGCTTAGAAGGGTGCGTTAACGGGCCGAGTTGGAATGTTCAATTCTATATTAAGTATTCAAGGAGAGGAAACGGAAATAAGTTGCTATTTGCGGCGTCGAAGGAACGCGATGGAAGACCTTTCAAGACTTTACGCAGAACTAAATTAGGATACCGCAACTTGAAGAAACGCCGCCGGCGGCGGGTCTTTCACGCGTTTCAATATTAAAATCTAAATCCGGAATCGCTACCGCTAATTTTGAAGGTAACATTCCAAAATCTCCCGCGAAGCTCGAGAAACGCGGCGGCGACCGGCGGCGAAATTCGGATTTTAAATTCAAATCTGAGCTAGTTACTGTTATAGTGTTGATTAATGAAAGAAAAATCTCTCACACGCGAAACTGTGTATATACAACCGGCGGTTCTTAAATCGGTTCTAAAAGTGGCTCGAATATACGAGTAGGCGGAGCGCCGGTTTAGCGCGCCGATCATTTCGCGGCGTTTCTCCAGCGATCGTGACAAAAGGATACGTGATCGCGCTTGATGTATCGCCGTAGTTGCGCATCTGTCAAGTGCAAAGGATGTAGGGCTCCCCTGAACGACTTTTTAGCGAGCGAGCTCTCTCGAGGTGACTACCGCGCGAGAGACGGAGCGAAGAAAGAAGCACGCATTAGCGCTCGTAACGCGGGCGCAACATTCACCGGGCTCCGAGGGGGAGGGCAACTTCTTGGTGGGGAGAGCCTCTGGTTACCACCGCGGGGACCCTCATCCTGACTCCTGGTTACAAGGAGGACTTGGCGGCGGAGGGGATACGTGACGATTGCGTAACAATGCACCGCCGCCACCTGCACTCGTTTCGTCACACGGCTTTAACAGGCTCGACGGTGGTTAGCCGGCCGGCTCGCATTACTTTCGCCAATTAAGCCCGCACGGCCGTTGTAATTTAACTTGCGAATATGAAATTCCAGAATTATTCGGAATTCCAGCGACGCGCGTCCCGAATTCTCCGGCGGAGAGGGGGATCTTGTTCTCGGGAGTACACGGACAAGACAATTTCGTTGGTGTAACTGAATTTTCCCGTTGTTTGGAAACCGGACGAAAGCTCGTTTGAAGAAACAGAAAGATTCTTGCAGGAGGTTTCTACTCGGTCAATTACTCTCGGTTGACCGAGTTTGTATGTACACCGAGAGAAAAAATATCTAAGAAATAAAAAATATTCATTCGGTGGATACTACTAAGGTATTTATTGAAATCTAAATTCTTCTATTTGAATGGAATAAACAAATTGTTTTACAGATTTAAGAAAATGTACATTCTCTCTTATTTGAAAAAAATAATGTTTTCTCGGCGTAAAAGCACGTATATTGGTATATAAGTAAATATCTTATTGGTACACCCGCCGAATAAATATTTTTTTTATTTTTTAGATAATTTTTCTCGCAGTGTGGAAGCAGAAAGATCCCTGAAGGAAGTTTCTATTCAGTCCGTTACTCTCAGTTGTCTTAAGTGAGTTTTAATGCAGCTGCAACGTTCACACGCATTGTTCGCAATCGCGGTAACAGAGATATCATTTCTTGTCGCTGAGTTTTTATCCGGTCGCTGTTCAGTTGCAAGGAACTGAGTTTTTCTCATTATTTCTGCGCGTAACCGGATATGGATACGCAGAGGACGTTCTTCTTCTTACTTGAACGGAGTTGAAATGTGTCTTGAGCGTCTTGATTGTACTCGTATATGTCGAACGCAGCTCTTCAGAAAATGAATCTAAACGTAGAGAGGAACAACAAACAAGAGTCTCGCTGCAATTTTTAGTGCGCAACTGCCATATGTTGTGGTAAAGGACCAACGTAACGACTATAATCAGTTGACAACAATCGAGCAATTAAAGCAGGCCTCTGCAATAAATGCATATTTCGGCTAGATTTTAGAGTGCACACCCACTTTCTCCTTTTTACCGCCCGTCACACAGCACCCGGACGCGTAACTGAAACGCGTAACTGAGACTCGCGATCATAGACATAATACCTGCATTAAATTCAGTTAATAAACCAATTAAATTCAGTTAATAAACTATGTATTAAATCTGATATCAAACAACGGTCTGTGTGAATTAAAGCATTTGAAAGTGTTCCCAGTGAGGGAAGGAGGGCACATTACCATCCCTGTTCCTCTTCGATCCATTTTACAGTGTCGCCAAATATTTGTAAATAACGTCCTAAGGAATAAATATTTCATAACTTTTAGCCTAAAATCCATTGAACAATACTTTGACGAACGTAACTGTTAAGTTTTCAAATATTGATTATTAACAAATTTTATTTTTGCATAACATGTAAACGGGAGATCATAATATCACCTCTCTATGTGAATATCGATTTCATAGTTGTCAAATCTACAGATATGACAATTGCGCATTGATAATCGTAACAAGGCTGTTAACTGTTCTTTCCTTTTCACATTTAAATATCTCATTACGTTCTGCGCTAAATTGAAAATATTTGTTTGGTTTGGTTGAAGCACAATTTTAAATTCACGAACGTCCAATTGATATCTCACGATTTCGCAAACGCGTATCAATACATTTCGGGAGAAACAAAAGAGAAGAGAAGAACGCGTGACCTATTTGTCGTATTTGCGATGTCACTGTGATATTTGATATGACGACTATCGCGAGGATTAAATATTATGTCGGTGAGAATTCAGAATATTTTAATTAAAATATGTTATAGTCGGTGTCGTATGCGCGCATATTACGTGCGTGTTACGCGCAATTACAGAAGACCCAGCGAAAGATGACGACATCGATGGTTCGGAAGCGACGGAAAGAGAGATGCTGGTGAATGTAAATTGTCCGATCCGAATGGTGCTCGACTACATAAGAAAAGCCGCGCAACTGAGTGACACGTGTAAATAGTGAATTGAAACTGTCATACTTGTATATTAATAGTTTTCTTAAAACTTATCTCAACGATTTTCGGGATTGAATTCGGAATTAGATCTGACTAAATACTTGTTTTCTCACTTCTGATACCCGATAGCACAACATTCGAAACCGGGACATGAGACGTTTTTAAAATATTTTTAAAACATCTCTAAAACTTACGGTCATCTTTAAGATGTCTTAAAGATATCTTATATCTCGATTTTGGACATTGTACTGTCTGGGATGTCATTAATCAAGACGGCTGCAACAAAGAAACAAGAGCCTTATTATAGGCCTTAGACACACATTTGTATATGCTGATTGGAAGGATAAAAATTTGTGTCGTTGCAGGTGAATTCGATTTGTGCGACGAGGTGAATTGCCAATTAAGGAATGTGTCTTTCTACAAGCCCAACACGCGGGGAACGGATGTTCTTCAGGGGGATTTGACATATTTCATCGTCACCTTCCAACGTGAGAACGATGCGATTAATATTAACGTATTACTATGACATCGCGAAATGTCTTTCAGGAGACGAAAATGGCCAGATGATAAATCTCGCACCGCTCCTAACGGCGAAAGCAGCCAAGAGGTGTTGCGATATTATGGCGAAAATGCGAAGACCGTCGCAAAGAACTTCGTCTATTAAATCTACCCTCAAGAAAAACAATAATATAAATAAATCTAACGAATAAAGTATGTAAAGTATGTTAAAGATTATCGTAACATAAGTGATTTTTCCCTCTCCGCTGAACTTACTGTGTGAGAAATGTATTAAAGCGTTCTTCCGGGAATATAGCGCGTTGATATATATAGTCAAATTAATAAATTAATACTTGTTAATAATTGCTATTATGTCGCACTAGTTAAAAATCAAGATTCGTCTGCCTTACCTCCGACTCGCCCGCTATTTAGTGTAAATACAATGCGGTTGACTTGTTGTTGAGTTATACTACGATCACCATTTTGAAGACGGTAAAGACAGTGGCGCCCCGTAGTGGAGATTTTGAAACTGATAGAGAGTAACGGTCTGACCGATAGATCCGATCGAAGTTGGCTAATGGTTTACTTGGCACCGTCTAACGTTATAGCACGAGAAAATTGCATTTTCTTTTTATATACAAAATGTGTATAAAAAATTAAGGGGCCTAAGATTTAAGCCTATTTGACGTGGAACAAACTGTGACGATCAACAGCCTACCTGGCGACATCTAGCACCGTTACGGGATACTGGTAATAGCTTAAACTATAAAAAAAAGCTTACTTTATTTCACCTTCATAACCATTTTCAAACTGAAAATGAAGGCTGACACAACCTATTCCCTCAATTGTTTAAAATATTCTGTATTTTATCTAAAATACTGCGTTTATAGATTATTGTATGATCTTCGATTTTGCCCAAGTTATAGCCTATAAAATTGTCTCGATTGATAGCGCTATGTCATAGAAAATAACGTTGTACAAATGGAACGGTTTATTAAACTTAAGGTATGAAAAATGTCGGTTTATATGGGCATATAACGATCTGCTTTTCGTGTAATATCTATGTTTCTACATAGATATTACACGAATGACTAGGTTTCTACAGATATTACACGAATGACTATGTTTCTACAGAAAGATATTACAAAAAGCAGATCGTTACATACATGCCCATATAAACCGAAATTTTTCATCTACAATAAAGTCTCATCGAGTTCTCTGATACTCTCATCGGCAGCTTTGATATTGTAGAATTTCCCGTGCCTCCCTATTCCATCCTCGACGAATTTCTTAGCGCCCGAGACACCTTCCTCGAACACTAAATGCGAGGCGTTATCTTTCTCGAACTGCAATGCCTCGTCCATCTGCTTCGCGGAAAAAGTGGCGAAATGTGTCGACGCACGATCCGCGAGCAGGGTCTTCATTGGGAATTTTATGAGAGACTTCGCCAAGTTCACAGATACGCCTAAACCTGGAAAGCAAATGAGAAATACATGAGAGAATTTCGAAACCCATTGCATTTCTCCTCGTACTTTCTGATATATGTATGATTTCTGTAGTAAACTCCATATTCACTTTATTTTATATTTATCGTAGAATATATTTTCTATGAAAATTTTATATTTATTCTTATATTTATTCTAGAATATATTTTTCTATAATAAACACAATTTCGCACCTGCGCCGCAGGTGGTGATTTTATTGGCAATGCCCCAATTGAGTGTTTCCTTTGCAGTAACCAGTCTCCCGGTCAATATGAGATCCATGGCCCTCGAATATCCGACCATGGCGGGCAAACGGACAGTTCCTCCACATAGAATTGGAAGGCCGAAACGTCTATTCAAGAAACCTATCATCGCTGTATCTTCCATGACTCTCAGGTCGCACATTAAGGCTAATTCGAATCCAATACCAACTGCGTATCCGCTCAAACATGCCACCAACGGTTTCTTGGGCAATTCGTTTCTATTCGCCTGTATAGACGATCGGAGGAACATTCTATTTTCATCAAATATTTGATGGGTATGTGTACTGACAATATATATTGCATAACTTACGAACATACCAGTTGTCCAAAGTGTGGTATACTCTCTTCGTTTTTGCCATCGTAACTCGCGATCTCGCTAAGGTCATAGCCGGCGCAAAAGTTACCTCCTACCCCGTACAAAACCGCCACCGACGTTTTCTCGTTGTCTTCAAATTCGTCCAATGTATCTGATAGTAACTGCGCGGTTGCGACGTCTAAACTGTTCTGCTTTTCCGGTCGGTTGATGCCGATCGCGGTCACTTCACCGATTTGATTCACCACTATTGTTTTTTCTAAAAAAACACGTGTTATTGATGATGATGATGACAGGAAGATATGTTCTACATTTTTAAATATATATTGCTCTCCATTACACATTCAATATCTTAAATAATTATGAAAATTAACAAATTCGGAACGACTCTGTAGGATGTAATCACAGAAATAATTTTTTTTTTTTAAATTACCTTTATCTTTTTCGGCATTCGTCGTTGCATCCGGTTGAGAGGTTAGGGTTCGTCGCACGTTACGTCGCAGCGTCCGTGTGAACGAACTGGACAACTTTCTCAGAGCATGCATTCCGCGTGCCACTGATTTTTCCTCTGACAAATGATTCTCTCAATATTATTAAACTTATAAATCAAGAGTGGCGTAATCTCAACGAACGCTTGCAACGAACGCCTAACATGCGCAAAATCAACCGGCGTCAGCTGGGATTCAGTCTCGATATGGAGCGTCGATACATCAAATCGTAGACGCGCACAGCAATCGATAGAATTCAAAGAATGACATTCCCGCATCCGTCGTCGGTCCGCAAAAGTGCGAAATTCTCAATAATATTACAGCTCGACACGGTTAAAAAACAAATCACTTCACGGAACTGATGCGGCTAATCGTAATCAATTGATTCGCTATACATCAATAACGCAAATCGGCGCGATAACCTTAAAATAAAAATCGCATCATTTTAGAGCGCAGATTTCTCGCTTCTTGAATGGCATAACTTCGCGCGATAAAACTCCTATACCGATTATTTTGCGTCTCGAGACTCACTTCATCCTTTATGATCGATCGCGTAAAAAAGACTAAGAACGAGCGGTCGACGGTGCCGACGACGGGAGCCGAAAAGCGTGCACAGCCAAAACGCGCGAGGTTTCAAGCTAACGACAACCTCGAGGAAGAGATGAGGACGGGTCAAGCTGAAGCTGGGAGATGTGGGATCAGCTACCGGAGCTGATACTGACGCAGATATTCGGCCATCTCGATCACGCCGATCGCGCCAGCGTTGGTGAAGTCTGCCCGGCATGGAATCGCGCGCTCTCCTCACCGGTGCTCTGGCGGTCCGTCGCGGTCGTCATCGATCGCGACCTAAGTGACGACTTCCCACCGGCGACGATATTGACCGTAAGAGTGCCTCCGCTTTCGTACTCTCCTTCTCGGGAGTGAATTTCGCTCTCCGTTAAGATTAGAAGCAGAAGCAGAACGCGAGGATTACTGGAAAATCTCGAGCTCCGAAAGAAGCATCGTCGCCTTCCTCACGTCAGAATGTCACTCTTGACAGTCGTAATTTCGATAATCGAGCTGTCACAGCGCGTCATCTACTATCGCCTGTTTACTACTATTTTCTATCCGTTATCATCTAGTACCCAAGCAGTGCGAACTTCGAAACATCCGGACGATGTTCCATCGTTCTTGAAAGTTGTCTTTCAGAAGTTCGCGTTAACATTCACTATTCACCGCGTTACCCGCGCTCGCGCCGATGTTGCGCTACGACGAGCGACGACGTCGATTAATCGGCCGAACTTCCATCGCAACAGACAAAGTACGGGCAGCATATGCGCAGCTTGGAGCTGGCCTTCTCGCGACCCTATATCAGTCCGAGAAGCCTACACCGCGTCAAGCTGATGTGCAGCGCTCCGGCCTCGGCCGGCGCCGACTTTCTCGCGATCGTCCGCGCTAAGGATGTGCAGCTGCGACAGCTGACGTTGACGAATTGGGCCTTCGCCTACAACCGAGGAACGCTGCTCAACGCCTTGGCGCGCTTTCTGCGGTGATCAAATCATTCCTCCATCAACCTGTCGCGTCACTCGCAAAACCGTGTAGAACTGTATGGATTACGGAATTCTCTTTTCTTTATTCCCCTCCCTCTCTTTTTCCTCTCGAACTCTGCAGCGGTCAACGCAATCTCGAGACCCTCTGCCTGCTGAACGCCGAATTCGGCGTGGCGGATGTCTTGCGTGTACTGGGCGTACTCGCCAAGGAGTCGCGCGAACACTTGGCCTCCTTGGATCTGCGCGGCGCTTTCAGGATGTCGAGATGGCAAGTTCCCCACGACAATCGGAGGTATGATGCGAAGCAGTAACGCGGAAGTGACAATCGACTCATGGGCGGAAAATTGATTCGGCTAATGATCGAGGAAATGTTAACGATTAAACTTCGCGCGTGAATAATTACAAATTATTCAAATGTAAATATAAATTATTACGTCTTGCGTGTGAGACAAATCATTCATTGTCCATCTAAGATATTTGGGCCTGCTGAGCCACTTTCACTCGTTGAGCCTGCTGAAATTGGACTATCCGGCTCTGTCGAATCACGTTCTCTACGTTCTCGCGAGTAACGCGTCGAAGACATTGAAGAACCTGCACATATTCGTGAGGAACTCCGATTCCCGGCAGCATATGTTAGCGGACACCGCCTGGCGCAACTTGTCGTCGGCTTGTCCCGATTTAACGGTGTCCTATACTATAGGTATAACAAAGCGTTGCCGCTATCTTCATGAATTGAGAGGAAAAAGTGTTGGGTAGAAAGAGCGATATCTTCAAACTGATACAATCCTTAATTCAAGGATATGAGTCTTGAATATTGATTCTTTTTTCTGTGTGAGACCGTGAGAATAGTCGCGCCATTTAGCTTTTGAAGTTTGATTTCCAGTGAATATCTCGCATTACGAGGACATATACTACTTGCTGTTACCCAGCCTGCCTCTGGCCAAGTTTCACATGTTCAGCGGCCACGTGTGGGATCAGAGCAGATCACGGAACTTCAGGAGCACGATCGGCCTGCTGATTACTCAATACACGAACACGTTAGGTGCATTCGTCAATCCATTCGCGCGAACGACGAACTCGCCGACATTGTTACAATGAATTCATATAATTTCGCGATCAGACTCGCATCTACTGTGGCGAATTGATTGAAAGAGAATGCTAATTATACATGTTAAGGCAATAACTATTATTATCTCGAATATCTTCGAAATACCAGAGTAGGAGACAAATTTGTACAACAAAGAGAAATTGCATTGAGATGCACGGGGAAAAAAACAAGCCTGTTAGTGTAACTGAACTTTTTGCTGTCTGGGAATTAAATGAAAACTCGGTTGTATGAGGAACATTAGAAAGTAATAGTTATTGCCTCATCTTCTGTAATAATTGTAACAATCCATCATTTAGAAGGAATGCTTTCCTTTCACAGTCGAGGTGATGTTACAACTGAGAAATAATCGCGAATCGCTGGACGATTTATTGGTGTCCATGTTGATACGTTGCAAGCGCCTGGTAAGATTGCAGTACGACGGAATTATCAGGAGTCTCGAAACCTTGCGCGAAATATGTCAGCTTCAAGTCGAACACAAAACACGTGAGTTGAAGACGCGCGCGTTGCATTAGCGGTGAACATGAGACCGAGTGATTGCAGGTTTCAAGACGATACACGTAAAACCTCGGGACATCAATATCCAAAATCGTGCCGTACTGTACGAGATCAATTATCAGTACGATCGTAAGATGCACGAGCAAGGAATCGACTTTCGGGTCGAAGATCCCACCTCGATTTTATTCTTCTACTGACTGTTTTTGAATTTTTGCGAATTTTCAAGATCGAAGATGAAAAGCCGCACTTATTTTGATATACTTTTTCTTGTGAATATCGAGAATATATTTTTTATTTGAAAGATTTAATGATTTTTAAAATTGTTTAGAAATAGAATTGTGTATATCTTTATTCTTCATAGATGAAGTAATAAATACCAGTATTAATTTATTTCGTTAACTACTCGTAACTCATGTGAAACAATACTGAAATACTGAAATATTCTCCTTCTCAAGAAAAAAAAAAAATTAAAGAAAGATTATCCCGACACAGATTCGATACTGTGTTCTTCCTACCGCTACCTATTACTAGTCCTGCGATTACCAATTACGTTATGCGGTGCTGCATGTTAATTACTAACTTTCTATCGGGAAATCTATTCTTGTCGTCACTACTGAACGCTTGGAATTTCAAACGTTAAAAACTACTATTTGGAAGGCGCATTGTACAAAACTCGGGCACGGGTCTATTTATTTTTTATGTACATTTACTATATGCAAAGAGATCAAAATCGGTAAGACGCTCACTGTGTCTTCTTCTTATCAGTCGACGCGACCTTGCAAATTACACACTATTGCAGACTTATTATTTATTGTTTCCAGGGTGTTTCCACAACACGTGGGACCGTGCATTAACTTTTCTCGAAAACGCTGTACAACAGAGATAGCAGAAGAACTTCTTCTTATGCATGCGCTTCATGTGAGCCTCCCAGCCGATTCTCGTCCCACCGATATAGTCACAATCCCTACATGTTATGAACTGTTCGTTGCTGTGGATTTCCATTAAATGACGCATAAAATTTTTCCTGTATTCAGACACGAACGAGCACATGCTGCAGGAATGGATAGGACGTCCATGGGCGGTATTTTCGTGGAGCTTCAAGTCTTTCTTTAAGCTGAAGCTCTGGTCGCATTGTTTGCAGTGATTCGTATGTGTGCTCATGTGCCTTCTCAAATGATGTTTGAAATTAAAACGTTTGCTGCAAACGGAACATTCCAAGGTCCGCTTTGGTTTCTTTCTGCCGCTTATTCTCGCTGCAACATCCTGCGCTTCCGGATAGTCTTTAACCAAGGTATTATTATCACTGGAAATCGACACTTTCAGAACCGAGCCATCAGAATTATTGGAATCCGGGATGTACAGAGGATCCATAGGAGAGTCACTAAAACATAAATTACAATCGAATTAAGTTATGTGAAACACGAGGCAGGATCTGTATCTCAATATTATGTTTATTTGCAGCATTCGAATGTTGAATCTCTTTTCAAGTTTTTATTTGAAACCATTTCTTTCTACAACGACGTCGTGTCAAATATAAAAAAAGTATTATGTTAAATCGTAAACACGTACTTATTGCGATTTATGTAAATTATGTAACTAATAACATAGAAAGGAACTTTCTAGGAGCAGGCCTTGAGTTTCGGTAAGAACCCTCATGTAAAATGATATAAATCACAACAGGTCACACTTCGAGGCAAATATCTTGCAAATTGCAAACTATAGATTTACTATTTATTGTTAATGGTGTTGCGCCAGTATGTGGTGCGGTACACTATCTTTTCCCGAAACATTGTACAACAGAAAGAACAGAAGAACTTCTTCTTGTGTTCGTTCTTCGTGTGAGCTTCCCAGGAGGCCCGATTCTCCTATAATTCTTGCAGGTTACTCTTGCAGACTACTGGATTTTATGGACTGTCTTTAAATGGTAATTACGGTTTTGTTTATATATAGTCTTATACGAACATATGCCGCAGGAATAGGTAATACATCCATAGGTGGTAGTCCTCTCGTGATGCTTCAAGTCTTTCTTCGGGTTGAAGATTTGGCTGGATTGTATGCGTTGATTTTTGTGCATGCTCATGTGTTTTTTGAAGCTGACCTTCTGATTAAAACGTTTGCCGTACATGAGACACTTCAATAGCGACATCGGTTTCTTTCTTTATTATTTCGTATATTTCGATTATTTCCATTGTAACATCCTCGACTTTAGGACAGTTCGTAACCGAGGGATTACTATTATTGGAAGTCGATACTTTTGGATCTGAGTCACCAGAATTATTGGAATCTGGAGGGTGCACATCATCCACAAGCGTGTTACTAAAACACAAATTGCGATCGAATTAAGTAACGTTAAATATAAGATGGGATTTGTAGCTCATTATTGAGCTTAGTTTTACCGAAATAATTACCAATATGGGATGTGTATACTTCGCAAGTGTCGCGTTAGACTCTGCTGGTATGCAAACGCCGCAGAACAGATAGAGCAGAAGGAACCATTCCTTGTGAACTGTTTTCATGTGGGCTCTCAACTCGGCCTGAGTTTTGCAGGCATATTTACTTAATTTACAGACTGGCATCTGCACCTCCTTGTGTGATTTCCTTAAATGCCGCGTATAGAAGCCCTTGTGCATAGTCACGAACGGACATATGTTGCAGGAATATTCGGTAAGTTTATGATACAATATCTGGTGGCGCCTCAAGTCTTCCTCGAGGCGGAACTTCTTGTCGCATTGTTTGCAATGATTCACACGATGACGTGTACTCATGTGCCTTTTCACGTGGTGTTTCAAATTAAAACGTTTGCTGCAAATGGGACACTCCAAGATCCTCTTCGCTTTCTTTCTGCCGATTTTTCCCGCTGTGACATCTTGGGCTTCCGGATAATCCTTAACCAAGGCATTATTACCATTGGAAATCGATACTTGCAGAACTGAGCCACCAGAATTTTTGGAATCCGGGATATACAAAGGATCCGAAGGGCAGTTACTGAAATAAAAATTGCAATCGAATTAAGTAACGTTAAATACAAGATCGGATTTATAGCTCATTATTGAGTTTATTGACGTATCGAATGTTGCATTATTTTTCCAGTTTTTTACTTGAGAACATTTCCATTCTATAACGAGATCGTACTAAGTATATAAGTGTAATTATGTTAAATCGTAAATATGTATGTATTAAGATTTGTATAAATTATATAACTAATAATAGAGAGAGAAATACAGAATTTAGGCAAACTATCTCGAAATGAAGAGTAAATAAAAACAACAAATAACATACGAGTTAAAGGAAGGAAAATAAATAGAAATTAAACGAGTTGAAGCAAATTCCTTTTTATATACAACTGAAATATTGTCATCGAGATTTTAGTTTGTAATAACGGCACTCTGCATGACGATCGTACATTCAGAACATCCCTAGTAAGTCTCGTGGCTTAACAAGGGATACAACATCGGTATAATATTTTTTCTCAAGAATGCGAGTGGAACACAATATATATAAGCTATCGGATAGTCGTCCTTCAATTTTTTGATGCGTGCCACATTTCTTCTCGCGTATAGAAAATCACCAAATATTTCCAAAGTGTTGAAAAAATGAGATTTATTGTAAACCGTGCACAAAAATATCAGTGAAATTCGCGGAGAAAAAAATTAATTTTGCCAGTATGTTCCTGAAACGGTTCGTACGGTCTGTTAGCGAGTTGGGCGTATCGGCCTCGCGAGCAGCCCTTTTCAGTGACAGGACGTCATATGAGTATTGAGAACGGTTCGCGTGACGAAACCCTTGCTGCATCGCGGACAAACGTAGGGTCGTTCGCCCGTGTGATACCGCTTGTGAACGACCAACGTGGACCTCTGGGTGAACGCCTTGCCGCACTGGTCGCAGGAGTACTTGCGTTCCCCGGTGTGGGTAACGTTGTGGGTCCTCAACAGGGTCTCACAGGCGAAGCATTTGCCGCACACCGCGCAGGTGTACGGCTTCTCGCCGGTGTGCGACCTGTTGTGGATCTCGAGGCCTTTCGCGGTCTTCAGCTCCTTACCGCAAAGCGCACAGAGATACCTGCGTCTCTCGCTGCGGAGCGGATCGCCGTGCGCCTTCGCCTGGTGCTGCTTCAGCATCGACTTGTACTTGAACACCTCGCCGCAAGCGTCGCACTTGAGCTCGGTGGCGTTCTTGCCGGCGGAACCCCTCTTCGTCTTGTCGCCCGCCGTCGCCGGGTCATAGTGATGCAGACGATTGTGTTCCTTCAATCTACGCACGCGATATTTTTCCCTTTTTGTAACACGACTATCCGGATTATCACGCGACATATGATCTTTGAGTGAGTTCAGGCCAGTGTTATGGGAATGTCGGGATCAATGGCAAACTTGACAAGTATCGATAAGGTGCGGGCGATTCTCAAACATAAACACCGACACGATCGAAATGTTCTTCGTATTTCTCATATATATAGATCTTACGTAAATGTAAGCACGATATAAATGTGAATGCGAATGAACGCGTGCTACTCTACCTCATCATGCTTAACGGAAAATCTGACAAAGATACATGAAAATTGTCCTGCAAACTTTTCGTATTACGTTACGCCTCGAAATTTCGAATTGTGGCAGCGCCTTTGCTTATTTTCCCGAACATTTCTGTCCACCGGTATCAGATGTAACGTAAGTGTTGCTTTACCGGGTCTGCGGCGAGTACTGTCGACGACTGGAAGATCGCACGTACCTGCACACATCGTCGAAGACACTGTCGCACGCGCTACAGCGTTGATACTGCGTGAAGTTGTGCATCGTCGTATGCGCGACCAGAGCGTCCTTGTCGTCGAAGTTCTCGCTGCAGATCTCGCAGGTGAATTTCAAGGCGCGGTGGGCTCGCTTCAGATGCCTCTCGACGTCGATCGCGCTCACGCCCATGAAACTGCACTCGCCGCACGGCACCGTCTTCGGCGTGTGCGACTTCTTCACGTGGGCGTTCAGCATGAACTGCTGGGGGTAACTCTTGCCGCAAATGGCACAGCTGAAGGGCCGGTCAATGCCATGCGCGGTCCGCAGATGCGCGACCAGCCTGGAGACGAAGTAGAACTTCTCCTGGCACATCTCGCAGGTCTTCGCGATACTCTCGAACCTGCAAGCATGCGTACCGCCACGCGGTCTCCGTAACGGGCCGTTTTCTCTCTGCGTCAGCCGAGTCGACCTGAGTCGTTTAATCTATTAAGATACATTCTATAACATTGTAAATCCAAATGTATAGTAAGTAAACGCTCACGTATGTGATTTGATTTTCCGTGTAAAAAAATTAATTTACATATTTAAACGCATAATTTAAAGGCGAGAGGCAGATATCGATTGTATAGCCTGGCGATACTTTTATACGATCGATATTTGCTTCCTGCCGGCTCTTAACACATTTCACCGTGTATAATACGATGCACAATGTACGTGAAAATGAAGGAATGGGTACTTCCAATCAATATGAATGTGTAAAGAATACATATATAAAACAACTTTGCAGATTTAGATCGTCTTAAATATGATTTCTGCGTGAAATTATGAAGAGATGTGTATTAGGTTCGGAAAAATCCTTTTTCGGAAATAAAAGCGTTCAAGATTTTCCTCCCCAATACTTAATGGAAAAAAAGGTCAGGTTTGACTTGATTGGATTGGTAGAACATTCTCGAGAATTTACTTTATTTCTTTTAGCACTTTTAATAGAAGGTCCGGACTCATTTAATATTAAATTACCTAAACTATCAATCGTTTTACGCTACTCAACAAAACAGCGAAACTTTTAACTTCCCATTAAATAAATTGTTAATCTTATTACGACGCTACGTAACAGAAAAGCTAGGCTGATTTAACCATTGCAACATTATTATATATAATATTATATTACATATATAATATTTGCCGATACTTCGCCAACTAGCGAACCGCCTAGCTCTATCGAAAAATAAAGTGTTCCTTCCCATGCACTCCGTTCAATTGCGCGACACAGTGTCTCTCCGAATTTCCCGATTGGAAGGCACACCTCGAGCGAGTCGCCTCACGTCTTCGGTTGAGCGGTGGCTTTCTCGTGCACTTTACGGTGCCTTTTAACGAAAGAATTGGACACGAAGCCTTTACCGCATTCGGGGCACCGATACGGCCTCTCGCCCGAGTGGAAGCGCAGGTGCAACACCAACGACGTCCTCTGCGTGAAGCTTTTGCCGCACTGCGGACAGATATGCGGCCGTTCGCCGGTGTGAATCCGTTTGTGGATACTCAGGTTCTCCTTGCTGGCGAATTTTTTATCACACGTGTCGCACTCGAAGACTTTCTCGCCGGTATGGGCGCGCTTGTGCACAGTCAGTCGTCGCCGGGAGGACAGCTCGGCGCCACACAGATCGCACAGGTGCTTAGTAGGCGGGCTCGAGAGCCCATGCTGACTCTTCATGTGCTGCCTCAACAATCTCTTGTAGACGAACCTCTCCGGGCAGAGCTTGCAGGCGTGCCTCGCACGCGCGTTGCTCTTCGGGCCGGTCGACCGATTGGCGGCCGCGTGCTGTGTCACCAGGTGCACCGACAGGTTCTTCTTGTAGAGGTAACTCTTGTGACAGTGCTCGCAGCGGTAGAGGTTCTTCCGGGTGTGGGCGTTCCGGTGCTCCAGGTACTCGGTCCGATGGTAGAAGCTACGCTCGCAAGTCTCGCACTTGAAGCTGTAGTCCTGCGCGTGCCGGCGGCGATGGCATTCCAGGTTGGACTTCTGGTTAGTGCTGTAGTCACAGAGCTCGCAGACGAACACCTTCAGCCCGGTGTGGATCAGCTTGTGGCGGGCTATGTTCATCGGGCTGCGGAACGTCTGGTCGCACTCGTCGCAGCTGAAGGCGCGCTCGATGTTGTGCAGATTCTTCAGGTGTTCCACGAGCTTACGCGTGTGCCGGAAGCAGGCGCCGCACTTGACACACTGATGCACGGCGCGCGTCTTGGAGCCCCGCCGTTGTCTGAAACGAGGAGGGTCGCGGTGAAATGAAAGCAGCACGAGTTCTCACCGCAGGCTGAAGACTCATTCAAAGCATCGTTAATTAAGTTTGGATAATTGTAATTTCTGATAATTTATTTATCATGGCTTCTATCACTGAGCTCTGTACTATTCTGAAATGCTGGGTGTCGGTGTCACCTGATTGGCCAACCATTTTCTACGATCTTCGCCAGAAACATTCGGATATATGCTAACTTACTAGTGAAAAGTGATGTCCGAATTATATTCCTATATCAAGAATATTTTAAGAATTCATTGTAATATTTGGGCTACTTCTCTTCGAATGTCGTCTTCGAACAACTGGACGTCCTTACAAAAAAAAAATGTTAAAATACGTACGAAAAATGTTAAAATCCACGATTTATCTTTTTATCGTGTATTAACGTGATTATACATAAGTCTGTGAAATTTGGCTCTTGTTAAATCAATACAAATGATTTGGATGCAAGTAAATTGCATCTCGATTAGTCGCACATTTGGACATTGTTGGAATATTAATTGGAAACCATTAAAATATAATTACCACGTATGTAATTACACTGAGAGAAAAAATGCCGAGTAGTTCCGTATAGTGCGATGATTTTCTTATACTTTCTGGTTTTCTTTAGCTTGTAAGAATCAATACAATTGGATAATGTATTTTTATTTTACGAAGTAAATACACAGTCACTTTTATACACGCCACAGCACATCTTAAAGATTTATATAATTGATAATTTTCAAAATTTCCGAAATTTCGCAGTACCGCGGGGAAACCTTTCGTACGTTTCCCGAATTCTTCGATCTCTCTAAAATATTACAATATTCATCAATTGATTTACAAGGACTTTATATTACAGGCTTAATAAAATCTCACTTCCTCTTCGTATAATGTCTTGCATTCGCGCAAATACATGCGATTAGTTTGATACACAATGCATCTCCGATGCCACATTAAATATAATATTGTGTCAACTTAAATCTCATTTAATATTTATATCAATATTGCGCAACACACAAGAGAAAATCCCGCTATATTTCAGTTCGATATTAAAAGAAAATCCGATCGAAATGTTTTCCTTCTTGTCTCAATGCGCGAAACAAATCGACGTGATGCGGATGTTAATTTGGAAACAAATCCTCGTCGATTATTTCGAATCTTTTCGTGAGCGACATCTTCTTCAGACATTTCCGCTCAGATCTTTGGGGTATCGTCCAGATACCAGGATAACTGAATATACAGTTAATTTCAAACATTACAAATTATTGATTTTTCTCACGATAACAAATAATAAACGAACGTATTGCAGTACTCCTAACCATATTTACTGCATAACTCATAACTCGTTACTATTTTCCGTGATTGCTGTGGGTAATACCCGTAAATAAGGATGTCCGGGTGCACAGGTAGTACCCGGGAATTTGTTTGCCCGGGTTTATCCGAGTTGTCGCGCAAGACCCGAGTACCCAACTCCGCAGATATAACCGTGCTATCCCAAAACACCCGGATCATACTGACGGATTCAGCTTCCTCGCGCGACGGAAGCACCGAGCCCCCCCCCCAAATGCAACAATTAATTATCTAACGCTATCTTGTCCTGCTGCTGTGCGGCAGGAACACCCAGCTCCTGCGTAAAGTCCATAATGATCTTTTTGATGGACACCACCGGTAATGGCGGCAACGGTCCCGGGTGCCGCTTCCGGTGGCAGATGAGACCGGGCTTCTGCGCAAAGGTCTGACCGCAAATGTCGCAGATGTACGGCCTTTTGCCGGTGTGGATCAGCATGTGCTGCTCTTGCGCGGTCTTCCGGGGGAAGGTCTTGCCGCAGACCGGGCAGGAAAACGGCCGAATACCTTGGTGAATTCTCAGATGGAGGTCCAAGTCTCTCTTCTGGCCGAAGGTCTTGCCGCAGGTGGGACAGACCACTTTCTCCTTGCGTTCGTGCCAAATCATGTGCTGGTCCAGGTATTCCTGCGTGGTCAGGCCGCGCTTGCATATCTTGCACTCGTAAGCCGGCTTGTAATGCCGGTATTTCATGTGCGCCTTGATGGCGGGCACGTTCTTGCAGGCGTGGCCGCATATGCTGCAGATAATGGGCGGCTCGCCGCTGTGCATCTGATTCATATGCTGTTTCAGGTCGTTCTTGATTTTGAATTGTTTCTTGCAGATGGTGCATGAGTACTGGAAGCCGCTGGTGTGCTTGCGTATGAAGTGGTCCTTCAGTGTGCACTTGTTGTTGCTCTTGTACTCGCAGATGCTGCAGGGATACAGCAGAGGCCCGTGGACCTTCTCTACGTGGCGCTTCAGGTCTCGCTTCAGGCTGAAGCTCTGGCAGCAGCTTTGACATTGGTACTTGTGCTGGTTCATGTGTTTTATCATGGTAGCCTTCTCGCTGAATCGCTTGCCGCACGTGGCGCACTCCAAGGACAGCTCCGGCTTCTTCTGCTCGACTTTATCTTGACTGAGGTTCTGCCCTCTCATGAGCTTCTTCGTGCTGTGCTCCTCTTGTTCCAACCTGTTGGCGATCAGCTTTCTCTTTCTCGTCGCGTGACGTTTCTTTCTAGCGGGCAAGGCATCGTACTCCGGTGTGCATTCTATGCTTTCGATCACGGAGTATTCCGAGGCATTGGCATCCGTGACGTTCAGGGGATCAATGGGCGAATCACTAAAACACAAAATTACGGTCGAATTAAATAATGTCACACGCATGGCACGATCTATCCGCTAAATATTGAGCTTACTTACTTGAAGTATTAAGAGTGCTGAATTTCATTTCCAGTTTTTAACTTGAAAATATCCCTAATCTACGTACAGAGAACGGTGAAGTGCCAAAATATAATTATACTACGTGTAATATGGTAAATATATAAGTTACAATTTACACGTAAATTAAGTAATTAATATAAAAAAAAAAAAAACTATAACGGGTCGTCTGAATGAAAACCAAGTGAACAAATAAGGGAAAAATTAAACAAGGAAATGAAATGAAAATTCAGTAAATGGAAAAAAATAACTCTTTCTCATGCTCATGAAAATTTGTTGTTGAAACACGAATGATAACTGCATAACAATCGTAATCCATAATATCGTACAAAGAACTGTCGTTCAACAAAAGATCTAATATCGATATTATATTCACGTAAATCTCAAGTAAATACACCATATGTATTATAGTCTATCATATCCCACATAGCACATAATATCACAGCAACATTGCAGTAATATTGCAATATCCTGAAAATATTGCATATTACAGTAAAATATTACAAATATGATATATTACACGTTTATAAATTTAAACGTTGCAATATTTTAGTTACATTGCTGCAATATATCACATAAGTAGCAAGGTGACGTCAAATGACGTTTCAATCTCATTGACATTATTAAAGCCGATACATCATTAAAGCTGATATTCATAATCAGATCTTATAATTAAGATCGTTTTAAATTAATACTTATGATTCAATACTAGCTAGAAAATCTATAATGACGTTTCTCACGCCGTCGACTCGAGAAAAAGACTGATATGTGTCCCCTATGTGCTGAAGTAGGTCACCCCTCTGGACGAATAACTTACAAATGCGAAACGTTCCAGACTCACTATGTATTAATATAATTTATTAATTTATTAAATAATTATCATCATGAAGAGTGTTGACGCAGGTGTCGTTCTAGATAATATTCTCATAAAAACCGCCGTACAACAGGTAGAGCAGAAGAGGATGCATCTTGTAAGTCTGCTTCATGTGGGCTTCCCAGGTGACTCGATTATCGCTGACGTAGCCACAATTCTTGCAGCTTATCATCTCCCGCACTCCATGGTCTTTAAGTGGTAAATATGGACGTATTTGTAGTGAGTATTGTAATTCGCCCACGGGTTATCTTCTCTCGAATAACTTGCAAATACGAAAGATTGCAGTTTTATCATCTATTAAACATAACTTATTAATATATTAAATAATTACCATCGAAAGTGTTGGCTTCGTAAAAGTGTCGCTTTAGACGATATTTTTGTGAAAACGCCGTGCAACAGTTGTGGCAGAAGAACCGCTTTTTGTGAATATTCTTCATGTAGTCTTCCCTGTTGGCCCTGGTTTCGCTGTTGTATTCACATTTCTTGCAGATTATCAACTACTTCTTATGGGCATTCTTAAGGTGGCTCATAAAGGAGATCTTGTGTATAGTCACGCATGGGCACATGTTACAGAAATAACCAATATGTTTATAATCCAATATCTCATGATGCCTCAAGTAGTCTTCCAATTTGCTGAAGTTCTTGTCGCATTGCTTGCAATAATACTTGTATATGATCATGTGCTTTTCCGGGTCGATTTGAGATTTCAAATCTTTGCCGCATGTGGAACATTCAAAGAGCAATTTCGGCTTTCTCCTATCGATTATTTCCACTGCAACGTCCTTGACTTCCGGACGGTCCGTAACCGAAATATTACTATTATTGGAAATCGATTTCAGAACCGAGTCACAAGAATTATTGAAATCCGGGATGTATAGAGGATCCACAGGCGAGCCACTAAAACACAAATTGGATCGAATTAAGTAATGCCAAACGCGAAATGGGATCTATAGCTCAATTGCTGAGCTTAATTGCGGTATCGAATATTAAATTATCTGTCCAGTTCTCTTTTTGATCTTTCAAGAGGCTAAGCTTTCTCAACGATGATTAAACAAAAACAAGAAATAAAATACGAATTGAAGGTAGGGAAATAGAAATTAAACTAATTGAAGCTAATTCTTTTTCATGTACATCTTAAGTATTGTTATCGAGATATTCGTTGATATTAACAACACTCTGCACGACGAATACAGAATATTTCTCAATTTTTCATCAATCACATGGCTCAAAGGACGAGCGGGAAAGACAGGGGGAAGATAAATAGGCGTAGCCTTCGAAATCACTTCGAAAATGCAAATAATTCCGAGCGTTGAATTAAACGACATGAGTGAATCGAAAGCGACAGAGGAGCCTGCAAGCCAGTCAAGAAAGATGGCTTTCAGCTTGTAAGAAAGATATCTTATGATTTCCTGTGGAACAACTGTAGATATCAACTGATAACGAGCGGCGTGTGACGCAGGGCTGTGCGCTTAAGGAAAAATCGCTAACTCTTTCTCGCATATCAACACTTATACGCGCAAAAAATGTTAACAGATTTATTAAAAATATACGAAAACCGTGGATTTATTGGAAAAAAGCGAATGTAAAATACAATAGAAAAACTCGTAGAGTGACATTCGGCCGCGAAAACTCGGCGTGAGGAAAGCGCCTGTAGACATAATTCCACGATGCCTTCTCGCCGGAGAGTGCATTGGACAGACAGAGTACGAGCTCTCTCCCTCTCTCTCTCTCTCTTTCCTCCATTCCCTCCTACGTGTCCTTTCTACTCGATCTTGATGAGCGCATTTTTAGTCGCGTATTCCCTCGTGAACTCCGTAACGATACTCTTGATGGAGACCACCGGTAGCGGTGGAAGCGGCCCGGGGTGCCTCTTCCTGTGGCAGATCAGACCGGGCTTCTGAGCGAACGCCTGGCCACAGATGTCGCAGATGTAGGGCCTCTTGCCCGTATGAATCAGTACATGCTGCTCCTGGGCGGTCTGACGGCGGAAGGTTTTGCCGCATACCGGGCAGGGGAACGGCTTCACGCCGGTGTGCACTCGCATATGCGAGTCAAGGTCGCGGCCGCGGAACCTCTTGCCGCAGGTCGGACACAGCACCTTCTCCCGGGTCTCGTGCCACGTGAGGTGCTGCTCGAGGTTCTCCTGCGTGGTCATGCCGCGCCGGCAAATCCGACAAACGAACTCCGGCTTGTAGTGACGGTACTTCATGTGGGCCTTGAGAGCGTGCAGGTTTTTGCTGTAATGGCCGCACACGTCGCAGACGATCGGCGGCGCGCCGCCGTGGTTCTGCTTCATGTGGTGGTTCAGCGCCTTCTTGATCTTGAACTGCTTGCCGCATGTGTCGCACGAGTAGTCATAGCTGCTCGTGTGCAGCCGGATGTAGTGATTCTTCAGGGTGCCCTTATTGTTGCTCTTGTACTCGCACACGCTGCACTCGTACACCCGTTGCTGATGGTGATCCTTCTCGGCGATCAGGCAGTGTTGTCGGCTGAATGTCTTCGGGCAGTCTTGGGCGCGCTGCCTGTGTTGCTTCAGATGCTCCGCGAGATTGCTCTTCTCCAGGAACTTGCGCCGACAATGCTCGCACTCCACGCACGTCGTCGCCCTCCTCTTGGCCGGTCGACTCGCCGCCGCCTCGATTCGCGAATTGGCTCTCGGATCTGTGCTCATCTTCTTCACGTCTGTCTCGTCTCCCGATGACCGTTCTTCTCGCTCCGCCCCGCCATTCCCATTCCATTCGCACTCGGTCCCGACGAACGATTTCTGGATCACGTTGGATTCAACGTTCAACGGATCCACCATTCTAAAACACAAAAGGTGCACGTTTGCGTTATCGTTGGGTGCAAGTCGACGGTACGATTTCATTTTACGTCTATCGGTCGCAGACGTCGTCGACGGTGTTCGACGATGAAGGGAGAGATGTGACTCTCAGGATCGGTTTGTAATAACTATCGGAGGCGGTTCGGTAGAACGTTCGAGGGATACTTTATTCGTCTGATGATCTTGCCTTCCTAACTCGTAACTCGAAGTTCCGCAGGGATTTACGGAAGGTTGTATTAGATATGACGGCGCGAACTTTTCGTAATGCAACGCAAAACTTATGGACCACCTAAAAAAGAGCGCGTGTCAGTACAAGAGTTAATTGTGGCGAACGGTGGCGGGGGATTGGTGACTTACCTTACGAGACATGAGAACCGATCGATTAGACGAATGCGTATACTGAGAGAAAAAACATTATTCGTAACTATAATCATCGTAGCGAAAGAATTGTAGTCGGGAGATTCATTTTTTCTAGTAAGTGTTACTACAAAGAGAGAGAGTGTGTGTCAGCAGCAATAACTTGGCATACATATTATTACTACTATTTTAAACATAAAAAGAGTAAATAATTGAGGGTGAATAATTGAGGAAAATAATTATAATTTCTCTCAGTGTGTACGTGTCTATTAAGAGAGGGACAGAGATCGATCGAATAATTCCGACAGCATAACTTTGAATCGTTAATCGCTTGTATATTTTTAAATAAACTTACGGCACACGCGTATTGCACCAATATTCATATAGAAATCGAACCGCATTTTGTTACAAAATATAGCGTCATAACATTATCAACAGAAAATCGTATATATATATATATATATATATATATACATATATATATATATATATACCTGTATGTATGTGTACGTGTGTGTGTATGAGAGAGAGAATCAACAAATATATCCTTACTTTATAAACTGCGATTCGCGACAATACAATTGAAAACATCGATTCGTCCTAAAAAATATCTCGAAAAGTCTGCACAGTTCTCTCATGCGTTTTTGTCTCTTTACTCTAGGAAAATCCTACGTCTACATGAAATCAAACGGAAAAGCAACTCTCGCATTCGGTGTGTAACTATACGGCGATATCGTCTAATAAACTTGTAAACAGGACCAACTAATAAATTAATGTATGTATCCCGATGAGAAGTAACTCTTTTAATATACAGTCCCTCCTCCTTCGCGCACGCACTTATAAAAATGAAAACATTCTGACTTGCGGATAACCGAAACCGAAGGTTTTATTCTACGCTATCAGGAATCAGTGTATGTGTATTTCATAAGTATCTCGCTGATCGGAGGATTAACCCGGGGCTAAAGGAAAACTCGCGTTACACACGGAGAGAAAAGACCGGTTGAATTAACCGCGACGATAAACTAATCAAACGTGTTTTGATCGGATGAAAACGGAATTTCCGATTCTAACAAATCAAATTCGGTTACAAGAATCAGAAATTCCGTTTCCTCCAACCGACGCACGTTGGGTTCGTTCATTATGTCACATTAAGGTTCCAGTTCTTTCGCCGTAGCCGTCTTGATTAATGACTTCAGAAGCGAGAAACGCAAGCCGAAAATTCCTGCCAAATACGTCGAAATAAAAGGACGTGTTCGCAAAATGACACTCGCGATCGATTGGTCATATTTGCAAAATATTCCGAAAACCTCCTCCTGTTCTGACATCAATAAATAACCGTAAGTTTAACGCGACCTGCGACCTCCCTTTTCAGCTTATTTCTTCTCACGATCTTGGCGTGTTATTTTACGGCCACTCATTGACTTATTGAGATTGTTAAAGTAAAAGGAAAGTTCGCGAAATATTTTACAAACCCGCTCAATCGATCACGAGCATTATTGCATAAACATTACTTTTCGTTTCAACATATCCCGTAAGAATTTCCGGCATACGCGTTGCCTCGCATCCGATGTCATTACTCAAGACAGCTGAGCCCGCAAAGAGCTTCCTTCCCCGCGCAGAAACGAAAACAACTCGGGCTCGGTCGCGGATGAGCTCGAACTACGAATTCGGCATGTTTTTGCTCTCGTTCAGGTAGTTCTTCACGAACTCGGTGACAATGTCCGTCACCGGTATCTCCGGCAGCGCGCCGAGCGGTCCGGGATGCGTGCTCCTGTGGCGCACCAGGGTGGCCCGTCGCGAGTACTTCATCCCGCACACGTCGCACACGTACAACGGCGTGTTCATATGCGTCAGTATGTGCTGCACCTGGACGCGTCGCTCCTCGAAGGCCTTCCGGCAGACCGGGCACACGTGCGGTTTGATCCTGCCGTGGCTGACCACGTGGCTCTTGAGGTCGCGCTTGTTCAGGAAGGACTCGCCGCAGGTGGTGCACACGTAGGTCTCCGGATTGTTCGGCTGGCCGGTGTTCTCGTGCCGGCGCATGTGCGCCTCGAGGGAGGCCGCGGTGGCGACGCGTCGCTTGCAGATGCCGCACTGGTAGCCGGACTTGATGTGCACCAGCCTGGTGTGCGTCTTCAGGGCGCTCACGCTCTTGTAGATGCGCCTGCAGAGGGTGCAGGCTACCGAGACGCTGCAGTGGTGCTTGTACATGTGCCTCTGTATGCCGATCTTCGAGCGGTACTCCTTGTTGCAGATGCTGCAGTTATTGTGGCTCGGGTCGAGGTGCCGCGCGGAGAAATGCTCCGTCATGTCCGGCACGCTCCAGGTGACGGTGTAGCAGAGCTGGCAGGAGTACTTAGCCTCGCCGTGATTCAGAACCATGTGAATCTCGAGCTTGTCGGTCGCGACAAAGCGCTCGCCGCATATCCGGCACGTGTTCCTGTGCAACTGCGCGTGCTTCCGCAGGCTGCCCTTCGTGCGGCACAGGAAGGAGCAAATGTCGCAGGCGTAATGCACGCGCAGGGACTTGCGCATCGCTCGCTTGTTTTCCTTGCTGTTGGTCAGATTGCCGCCCGCGTTTGCCGACATCCTCGCCAAGAATGCGTGCGACATGTGCGAGCCCTCGATCTTGATGTCGTTGATCTGCAGCAACTGGGCGAACCTAGAACACAAGAGAATCCTCGTCATTATAAATTCGGGGGTACGGGAGGTGCCTTGTGCGTTGCCAAATTTCTTTCTCCGGCAGGGACAGTGTACGCGCGCTTCGCTCGAGAACACTTTGATTTACAGCCGACGCATCTTCGCGGAAAATGCAAGAAGAGTCTCAAAGATTACACAGGAGTGATAGCAATGGCCCTTCAATTGCAACAGTCTCTTGTTGATCTCCGTTACGATTGTTGCAAAAGGCCGATACTACGCAAATGAAGGATACTATTTGTACAGTAAAAAGAATGGTTAATCAGGGGTTCGTATCAGAAAACACTCGTCACAGTTCGGAAAGAACCGGAGGTTTTTTTTTTCTCAGTTTTCCGCAGTATCTTTCAATTTGCCGCAGTAAGTTTTTATTCTCCGTGGAAGAAAATTACCCGTCGTAGAAATATGATTTGCATCACGTCATTTATTCGTTCGTTACAAGATTCTTTCCCAAAATACGTACACACACGCACACACACACATATACAAAAATGTCTTCTCCACGTCGTAAGTCCCTCGGGATGTGAAATGCGGTGGATTGCCCCGGAAAAATAATCTACTGAAATTTAAAAAAATCGGAGCAGTCTTCTGAAGAATTGTAACACCGAAATCCGAATACCCGAGACTTTCCCGAAATACCGAAACCGTCTCGTTGTACAGCATTATATCTAATTTGCTTCTTAATCGTTCTCAGGAGATATATTTTACTACTGGATGCGAACTGCGTTATAAAACTCGTCGGGGAAAAAAAAAAGTTGCAATTACTAATCTGCCGACTGCGCGCGCGCGTGTGTGTGTTTCCTCCTCGGAACGATCATACACCTCGAGACAATTTCGGGATACGGATTTCGTTATTACGACTTCTCGGGAAATTGTGTCCGAGCTTCTGAATTCCAAGATTCTGACTTCTCGTCTTCGCTCTTCCTTCATCACGCTTCTTTGCCCGCATTCAGCAAATGCTTTATCACGTGATCGATGGACATGTTCGGGAACGGCGGTAGCGGGCCAGGGTGTCTCTTTCGATGCCAGAGCAGGCCCGGCTTCTGGGTGAAAGTCTGGCCGCAAACGTCGCAAACGTAGGGCCGGGCATTGGTGTGCGTGATCAGGTGCTGCTTGTACGTGCACTGCCTGCGGAAGCTCTTGTCGCAGACGGTGCATTCGTACGGCCTGAGGTCCGCGTGGATCCTCATGTGCTGCCTCAAGGTGTTTTTGTTGCAGAGGAGCTTCAGACACACCTCGCACCGGAGTTTGCGTTCGTGCAGCTTCAGATGTTGCTGCAGCGACTCGCGCGTGCTCAGTTTCCTCTTGCACACTTGGCAGCCGAAGCTGTAGTTGTGCTCGTACTTTAAGTGCCTTTTCAAGACGTACTCATTCCTGCAGGTCTTGCCGCACACGTCGCACACCGCCTCGCGCCCATCGCCATGGATGTTGCGCACGTGCACGGACAGATCGTTCTTCATCTTGAAGCTCTTGCCGCAGTCGTGGCACACGTAGTTGCGGCCCTCCGTGTGCTTCCTCACCTGGTGGTCGTGCAGCGATATCTTGTTCTTGAGCACGACGTCGCAGTGGCTGCAAAAGTACACTCGCTGACCCATGTGCACCTGCTTAATGTGGCGCTGCAGCTCGCCCTTCAGCTGGAACCGCATGTAGCAATACTCGCAGGAGACAGGGTGGCTCCTCGAGTGACTCTTCAGTTGCAATTCGTGCGGAAACGTCGCCGAGCACACGCGACAAGTCCACGAATTCTTGTTCCCGAACCTCTCCGTCGTTTCCGCGAACTTCTCGTGGGACCTTCCCAACGAGAGCGCTCTAACGCGCGACTTGTTCGTGATTAGGGTCCTTGGTGTGAATTTTCTCACACGTCCCGCGTCGCACTTCAGGGGGTCTCCGGCGCTTATCACGAAATATGCTTCATGAATACTGAGGGGATCCGTATCACTCGCGTACCTGAAAGTTGAAGGGAGAGCATTAATCATTAGAGACTCCGAGCGAGAGGCGCAATGTGAGAAGTATACTTATCTCGTATCGTGACTTTACAGAACGTTCTGTGACAATCGGACCGTTTTCTCGGAGGGTCTCGCCAATGAAGCGTCCGTTTTTATTACGAGAGATCATATTCTCAGAGTACATATATATCGGTATGTACTATTATATTAATAATACGTACGTAAGGTACTAATATATTAATAGTTAAGACGCCTGGTTCCGCTGCAGGCGTCTTGCTTGGTGACGTCAGAAGCGAGCAAATGTTCGAAATTTTTGCGAAATACGTTGAAGTAAAAAAATGTGTCCATAAGATGACACTTTCCAATACCAACTAACGGTAATATTACATCAATGTTATAATTTCTCACTCAACAATGCGCAATATAACATGCATTGTATACGGGGTACCCGGAAAGTCTTGACAGAACGCTCGTATACAGATAGAATGAATAAAACTGAGCAGGAAAGCTATATATAATTTTGCAAAGTTCGCAATAGTTACTGAGGAATTAATTATCTGCAAAATTAATCTGCAAAATGCTACATGACTTTCCTACTCAATTTAACCTGTTCTACACCTGTACATGAGTACTCTGTCAAAACTTTCCGGACACCTTATATAACAGTTAATTTGTTGAGTGGAAAATTATAACATTGATGTAATGTTACTGATTGGTGTTTACGAGGTTGAGATCGATCGACCATATTTATAAGATTTTCCTTTTGTCCTAACAATCGATAAAATTAACATGACGCGCAATCTTCCTCCTTAGCTTAGCTTTCCCCGTGATTTTGTCAAGTTAATTTTATCAACTTTGAAAGGAAAAGTTTTCGGAATATTTCACAAATACGCTCGATCGATCACCAGAGTCATTTTGTGGACATGTCCTTTTATTTCAACGCATTCCGCGAGAATTCTGGACATACATTTTCTCGCTCCTGACTTTATTAATCAAAATGAGACTTCGGCAAAGAAACGGGAGCTTTAAGCATGAATTGTCGCCCTCAAAAGGTAATTTACACAGAGATCCGTGCTGTTGAAAATATTTATTTAAAACGGAAATCTGTGTATGTATATGTGTATGTATGCTTGTGTGTAACTGTCGGTGTAATTGTATTGTCTTAGAAAAAATAACTCTGTGGCGTACGTTCCCTCCTTTTCGTTTCTTCCTCGTGCAAAGAGCTATTCGGTATATCGTTACATCTAAACTGATATATAAGCGGTATATTTCAGAGAACGTGTACGATGCATGAAGAAACCGATGACCGTGGAATGCATTTATTATGAACGAATCAATGACATAATAATACAATAAAGCCTCATAATGACGCAAAACGTTCTTGCTAATTTCGGACAGTTATACATGTATGACCAGCGACGAAGAAAACGACGAGCATGTGGGAAATTAAATGTTTCTTCATACAATACGACAGTAGCTCTGAATAACAGAAGATTACTTACTATACAATAGACGCGAAGGTTTAAGTTATATATGTATAGAGCAATTATACATTTTCGTATGTCGACAATTACTTCACTATGCGAACAAATACTTCACATATATGAGAATTTTGTTTAAAAGAATTCCGCTAATTAACGACTTTCCAGCGGAAAGTGTCGAGCCAAAATTATAATATAAGGACAAAATCGAAGAATTTCGAAAATAGATTTAAAAGAGACGAATGATTGTTTTCATATTGCGTCTAGGAAGTCTATATTTTTCCTTAGTTGTAAACAGAATTTCTTCGCGAAAAAATCACTTTCTTGCACCGTCGAAGATAAGTTAACTTAATTTAGATTTTAATGTTTTTCCGGTATTGATGTGAACAATTGAGACCTTGAAAAAACACAAGGTTTGTTCTTCATAGCTGGCTCTGCACTAGCTTGCACCAGCTCCATTTCTCTCATCTTTCACAGTTGTGTATCTGTTTCTTTTTAAACTTTCTCCGAAAATTCACCGACAAAGCATTAGTTCGACGATAAAGAACAGACCTATAGGATAGGTTGAAAGCTGAACCGACAAGGATAAAGCTCTTTTTGCCTTGTTTTCTTGGAAATGTATAATTTACAATCACATCGCCCTATACATCTTACATCTCCATTCTTGCTTTATTCAAATTAGCATACAAATAAGTCGTCGACGGTCGCAAACGATCACTTACGTTCGCCTGTGCCGATCTCAAGATCGTTCTCTCTTCTCTGCCTCACATGTGTGTTACATTACATGCACATGTTTTTATCGTGTGTTTTATCATACATAGATATCGCGAGAAACATACGCCCTCACGTCAAGCTAACTTCCAACAGTATTTTGAAAGTGTACGGGATAGAATAAATTCTCAATGTAAGTATCGTATCGTTCAGATACGTCAGTGATGCGTGCAGTAGGACTCTCGCTTGTTAATAGCTTGATGGGGACAATTTCGCACAGGAGAGAGGTCGGGACAAACAGTTATTTCATTTACAAAATCTTTACAATCGCCGGATAGTAACGCCGAGGTGCATAACGCACCCGACGAAGCCGAAGAAAATTCCGATTATTCGGTGCTCGAGAAATTCATACGGATCTTTGCGAAAGATACGAAGCCAGTACAATTTACAGTTAGACATAACTTCATTGAATAATGCATGGACCGTTCTTTCCGATGGCAGAAGATATAAAAAAAATGACGAAAAACAAAGTTATGTCTAACTGTCAAGGAGTATCGCTTTGGACTGTATTTTTTTTTTTCATAAAAATCAATACGAACCTACCGAACAATTTAACAATTTCGTCATTCGCACCGTGCAACAAATTATCCGCTTGCGCTGTTATAGATATCCGTTAGAAGGAGGAAGAATTCAAGATACGCGCCTCGCGTACTCGCGAGGAAATGTCACGAACTCTTCGATTTGGATAAACTTTTGCGGGCATGTGAAGTAAAACTCAAGATATGAATAAAACGGTATGCTTTATTCTTGCCGAATGGTCCTCCAAAAGTATGATTTACGACCTCAAATTCAAGAGGGCGCTTCCGCTTTCGCGCACATACAATCGTTTGAAAAAATTCTTCTGAAACACAATCTCATTTGAAAAAAATTCTGCCAAAAACGTTTTCTTAGGAAAAAAGATTGTTATAATTTTAAAAAGATTGTTATAAGGATTTTTATAATTTCTGTTTTTGTCAAATTGTAGCTAATAGCTATTGTGCGATTGAACTTTCATTGGATAGGGCAAATTCACGTTGCAAATCCCTCAACAAAGCGTTTGCAGCTTCAGCGGATCGTATCCGTTGCGAGATGAACTTTCGACATTTTTCAAACGGAAATTTTTCCAAAAATTCTCCTTGGAAATATTTTTATCCGATTCCGGCTCGTGTCATTTTGCAGGCCTTGATCTATCGTTAAACTTGAATTCTCAATATTTCCCACCATTTCACATAATTTAAGAGACACATGAAAAAGTGCCTCCTGAACTCGAATTTGGAGACCACCGTTACGAAGGGCAACAGAGCAGCGAAGCGAGCACACCGTCATTCGCGCGTCTCCAGTTCCTCTCAACACACCGCCAGAAGTTCGTCGAGCTCGAAGAGCCAGGATTCGCGGATACTTCCTCGCGAGACTCGCGTGTACGACGACGGAGGCGCGTTTATACCTCCTCGTCAATCTTCTCTTCGCTCTCGCGCGCGTTGATCTCCTGCACGTATCCCTCTGTGAATTCCTTAACGAAGTCCGCGATCGGCATCACCGGTAGCGGCGGGTGCGGGCCGGGGTGGGTCTTGCGGTGGCAGATCAAGCCGGGCTTTTGCGTGAACGCCTTGCCGCAAATGTCACAGATGAACGGCCGTTTGCCGGTATGTATCAGCAGGTGTTGGCGCAATTGCGACCGCCTGGCGAACGGCTTGTTGCAGATCAGGCAGGAGTGGGGCTTGCAGCCGGTATGCACGACCATGTGCCGCTTGAAGGAGTCTTTCTTGGTGAAGGTTTTGCCGCACTCCGCGCACACGATCTTGTCGCGCTTCTCGTGCTGCGTCAGCAGATGCTGATCGAGGTTCTCCTGCGTGACCATGCGCCGCTTGCAGATGTGGCACTCGTACTTGGGCTTGAAGTGCGCCCATTTTTGGTGCACGTACAAGGAGCCGCTGTTCAGGCAGAGCTTGCCGCACACGTCGCACTTGACCGGCTTCTCCTTGTGGTGGAAGCGTATGTGGTTGGTGAGGTCGCCCTTGACTTTGAACTTCTTCGTGCAGAATGTGCACTGGTGCTCGTAGCGATCCGTGTGCTTGCGGATGAAGTGCGACTGCAGGGAGTGCTTCGAGCGGCACACGAAGCCGCAAGCAGTGCACGGAAACAGCATGGTGTTCGGCCGCTTCCTCGACCAAGTCTCGTGCTTCCGCTCGAGGTGTGCCGCGAACAGGCTCTTCTTCAACGTCCGGTAGTCGCACACGGCGCATATGAAGGCGCCGTCCTCCTTGATGCACACCTTCTTTTTGTGCGTCCACGCCACGTGTTTCCTGAAGGAGATCTCCGAGCTGAACGTCTCCGAGCAGACGCGACACTTGAGCGCGTTGCCGGTGTCGCTCTTGGACGACTTACCGGGCGACTTCGAGTCGCCACCGTTGTCGTCGTCGACGCACGGATCCGTTATCTCATCGTCGAGGTACTCGATGTCCGCTACTTCCGCCACCTCGTAATCGTAAAACTCCTCCGTCGGGTATTCCTCGGTCTCCTTCGCCGTCTCCACCACCACCTGATGATCCTGCGCCGCGGACGTGAGCTTCTCGAGGGTCACCATGTTACCCTGATATTTCACCTGATACAGATTCGTTTTGTCGTCCTCGCTGGCGCCGTTTAGCGTGATCGGCTTCACGTCCTGCTCCCGCTCGTCGACGTCCCCGTTGAAGACATTGCCTTCGTCGTCATACGGCTTCTCCTCCGTCGAGTCGTAGTAGACCTCATCGTCGAAGACCAATTCCTCTTTCATTTCGAGGTTCGCGTTCTCGTCCTCCAATTCACCCTCCACCTGCTCCGGCACTTCTTCGTCCGGCAACGGCGCGTCCTCCTCCTCAGGCACGAACGCGTAATACGGCTTGCCATCGAACTCCAAGATCTGCCACTTCTTCATCACCACTGATTCTTTGTCGAAGATGAATATGCCGCGGGGATTGCCCTCGTCGTACCTGAAACACCAAGCGGTAGATCGGTTATCCACGGGAACCTGAAGTGATCACGTGCCGCTGTAAATCTATTCTGTAAATCGCTCCCGGGCGATTTACCGTCGCGACGGTTCTACAAGATGAAAGTCTCTGACTTAACGTATCGTATGTGTATTTAGAGCTATAGAGATCAGATCAGTCAAGGTACTCACAAGTGAAATGCTAAAACTACCTTTCTCGCAGTCTCAGCATCGCAGTCCGTTGCGTTATAGCCGCATTAGCTACGAAACTGCCATCATAAAACAGGGAAAATCCATGAATAAAAAAAAATTGCAATCGAGTAAAGTATCATTGCATACGTACGCCTGGTATATGTATGATCAATAGTGTATTTATTATGTAACAATCTTAGAAACATATATGCGTTTTTATCATAATTATCATATTTCGAAGTAACCTATAATATCGTAGCGGTAGAAAATTAAGTAAAGGAAAACAAACAGCCAAGAGTTCTAAGCATGAAATATTTAGAACATAAATATAACAAAAATATATAAAGTATATGAATGTATACCGCATATATATAAATAATATATCCTTCATAGAGTCGATTTAAGTCTATGTAGCAACCCTTAAGGATCTCGATGACAGTCAAGCGGATTTTACGATATAAGATGTACAAGTACCGTTATCACAACAAATTTTGCACAATTATTACACAATTGTTTTAAACGTGTATGTGTGTGTTCGTGTGCGTGCGTGTGTGTGTGTGTGTGTGTGTATGTTTACACCTCTCCGACTTCGGCTTCTCAGGGAAATACAATTTAATCACAGACTGATTTTCAAATAAAGAGAATCCAGATATTACAAACGCTGGATTTCGCGACATTTGTGGAATTTCACGCTGAGAGTGATGCGTGTTTCAACATCGTTTAAACTTGATAATCAGAAATATAAATATCAGAAATATAAATATATTCGACGTTCGATACGCGTCCTGAATAGGCCTTAATTTAAATCGTTGATTCTACTCGACATTTCCATTTGACATGTGTCGCGTCGACATCGTGCTACAAACAATTATTCCGCGCTCAGTCCACCTGCCAGTTTTATTTCTCAATAGAACGACCGGTCAAGCTCGATGGTGCACTATCGCAGGTAATCGCAAGCCTGACAAAGTCATCGACAGCCAATAACCTCGTCAAGTTAAACCAGACAAAACAGAAGATAGAAACGAAAGAAGACAGAAAAAGAACGAACGAAAATCCTCGAAAAACAAGGCACACCATCATCATCGTCGTCGTGCACAGTTTCATTTCTTAACAAACTCCTTGAGGATGTGATCGATATGTATCACCGGTAACGGCGGCAGCGTGCCCGAATGGATCTTCCGGTGACAGATGAGGCCGGCCTTCTGTGCGAAGGATTTGCCGCAGACGTCGCAGGCGTAGATGCGCTCGCCAGTGTGCAGCAGCAGGTGCTGGCTGAGGCTGCTATGCCGGGCGAAGGCCCGGGCGCAGACGGTGCAACTGTAGGGCTTGTCACCGGTGTGGATCCTCATGTGCTTCCGCAGGTCGTAGTTCTCGAAGAAGGTCTTGCCGCACTCCTCGCACACGCTCTTCTCTTTGCGCTCGTGTTGCGTCAGAACGTGCTGGTCCAGGTTCTCCTGGGTGACCAATCGCCGATGGCACAGCGGGCACTCGTACTTCGCCTTGTAGTGGGCGTGCTTCTGATGGGTGTACAGGCTGTGGCTGTTGCGGCAGCTCTTGCCGCAGACGTCGCACATCACCGGCGACTCGCGATGGTTCAGCCGGGTGTGCGTGGTGAGGTCGCCCTTGATCTTGAACTTCTTGCCGCAGTGCTCGCACGAGTAGCCGTAATGCTGGGTGTGTTTGCGCACGAAGTGCGACCTCAGGGTCTCCTTACGGGCGCACACCACGCCGCAGACGATGCATATGAGCTGCGGCTTGTCGTTGCTCGTGCCGCTCGTAGCAACGCTGATGGCGTTGCTACCGGTGCTGATGCTGCCGTTGACGGTGGTGGCGACATCAGGTGTTTCCTCATGCTTCTCGGCCAGATGAGCGATCATCGTGGACCTTTTGTTGCAGCGGAAGCCGCAGATGATGCAGGAGAGCGCCTCCTGATTGCGCGGCACCGCGTCGGCGAGCGCGGAATCGCTCTTCGCGCACGGCTCGCACCTCGCGTGCGTGAGCATGTGTCGCTTCAACAGATACTTGCTCTTGAAGCGCTTGAGACAAGCGTCGCAGGCGTGCGAGTCGCATCTGCGATCTTTCCCCGAAGGTTTCCTCTTCCGCTTAGCCTCGGCCGACTTTTCTTCCCGAGTCTTCGTCAGCGTCGTCGCTGCATCGTTCACGGGAACGTCGGCGGTGCTCGCCCTAAAACAGCACGAGGGAGCACTTTTATTACGGTTCCGCGGTTGGGCGGCTCGTACGTATCTTGGACTACTTACATTCGAATCTAATATTTGCGGAGGCATTTGGTGGGAGAAGAGTGTTAGAAGAATGTATTCGCCCGTGATTATCCGCGCGGGAAACTTGAGAACAGTGGTATATTGTCGGTGCGGAATGTTTGGGGCGCAGAATTGTTTGTACGCGGCATTATTTATTTCTCACACAGAGGCGAATTGAGTACATGCGGGGAAACGCGCCGCGAAAACGACGGCTGGCGAGGGTTCTCGATAATGGAGATCATATCGGATACGGTGCGACGCGCATGGCGAAACGGAGGAACTTTTCTTTCACAGCATTCGAAAATGAGCTAAAAACATCGCTGGAAATAGTCGAGAAAATGTCTTTATTTGTCGAAGACCTACAGGGGTTTTCTCGGACGACTTGTAAATGTAATTCTCCATCCTTTTGTTAATCTCAGATAATAGCGTGAAGAGATTGTTAATTCTTAACAATTAATCGTAAATTATTCATTCGTACGGAATAACTGCATACGGAGCGCACCGGGAGATTCTTGATACCTAATACGTGATATGCAAATATAACGGATGAAACTGAACAGAAAAGTCACATTTATTATTTTGCAAAATTCGCTATAGTTAATGAGGAATTAATTAATCCGCATGAACTAATGAGCGTGCAGGAAGCGGTAAGCCGGACTCTGTATAAAGAAAAATAGTTTACTTCTGAAAATCTAGCAATAATGAGCATCAACTGATTTCTAAAGGCGAAGTAACGCAGCAAGCGGTATACGGCTGCGTGCCAAAAAGAAACATGCCTCTCGTTATCAGTTGATATCCGTCGTTGCTGAAGGATCTTCACAAGTAAGCTATTCTTCTTTACTTAGGCAATATAGCCAGCTTCATATCATTAGCTCATACAAATTAATTAATTCTTCATTATCTATTGCGAAATTTGCAAAATGACATTTCTGTTTAGTTTCAGCCGTTTTACCTGCACACCACGGATCCCGGATACCCCGAAGAAAATTATCGGGTCCTGAGGAAAATTATCGGACGTCCTGTACGTCCTGTATATTTTGGCGACAAAGTTGCGTATAATGTTAGGATTTCTTGTCAAAAACGAATAAAATGCATTCCATAGACGCAGGCATCCAAGGTAACAGGTTTGATCGGCCTGAAATAGAGATAAGAATAAAATGTTAGAAAAGTTGCGTCTCGCGAAAATAGAGGTCAGATAAATCTCACTTACGCTACTCTGAGGTAACGGGGATGCGAAAGCACGATTCTTCATTTAATACTCCTGCAAACAGGATACACAACGGGAGAATGCGAGTCTTCTGTTGCAGCAAATACACCTGAAACTCCTTCGGGTATCACATAAATTCTTTTATAAACCGTAAATTTTAATCGTACATAATTCGTTATACTTACAATTTTAAACTATTATTTATATCATTTCTGCATCAAATAAGACCATAGCTCGTTGATCGATATTAATCGATAACATTTCGAGAAAAAAGGAAAAATCAATATTGGTTAGCAAATAAAACATCAAAAGGCCTCAATGTCAAGAGCAGAATTCTCTCTCTCTCTCTTTTTTTCTTTTTTTTTTTTTTTTTTTAAAATACATTCAACTATTTATCATACTGACAAAGTATACATGTAAACGTGTGTTATGTGTGTGTGGAGTACATGGACCGTAAGATTCAAATAAAAGATTAATTGTGTGATTCAAATAAAATAAACTTTCAAACGTTCAATGGTTTTTCTCACGTACGTTAAGTGTAGTATACCGTAACTTGTGCAAATTAAATATTATTATAACGATACATATAATATAACGTATATATAATATGTACGTATAGTGAATGTATATATAATATATACGTATAATAAATGTATTATTATAATGATATTACCTACCCCCTATTCTTTTCCCCTCCTTCCTCTTCTTTCGTACATCAAAAGACATGATTATGTCTCGACATCATATTCAGACACGAAGCACGAGCCGCGTTACTAGTTACACGCAGGCAAGATTTTTCGTTCGATTATATATTTATATCGTTTACATAACCTGCGAACATTAGAACAAGCTGCGTGATAACTAGCCTCGTCGTGGATCAACGGCCGACCGGGTTAGTCGTCGCGGCTAGATCTGCCCGCGCGGAATTCGGTGAGTGACGATAGGTCACTTGTTCTTCATGAAATCGTTGAGAATGTGCTCGATGTGCACCACCGGCAAAGGCGGGTGCACGCCCGGGTGGGACTTGCGGTGGCAGATCAGTCCGGGTTTCTGCGTGAAAGCTTTGCCGCAGATATCACAGACATACGGCCGTTTGCCCGTGTGAATGAGCAGGTGTTGCCTGTAGGCGGTCCTGCGGGTAAACGACTTGCCGCAGACGTGGCAGTCGTACGGCCGATCGCCTGTGTGCGTCATCATGTGCTGCTTCAGCCGGTGGTTCTCCGAGAACGACTTGCCGCACTCCTCGCAGACGTAATTCTCTTTACGCTCGTGCTGCAGCAGGATATGCTGGTCGAGGTTCTCCTGCGTGACCATGCGCCGTTTGCAGATCTCGCACTCGTACTTGGGCTTGAAGTGCGCCCACTTCTGGTGCACGTAGAGCGAGTTGCTGTTGGAGCAGGTCTTGCCGCAGACGTCACACACGATCGGGCTCTCCTTGTGCTTGAAGCGCACGTGCAGCCGCATGTCGCCCTTCACCTTGAACTTCTTGCCGCAGTGTTCGCAGCTGTACTTGTACTCGGACTCGTGCTTGCGCTCGATGTGCTCCTTCAGCCGGCGCCGGCTCTGGCACCTGAAGCCGCACGCGTCGCACGTGTACATCTCCGGCTTGGCGAACCTCATGCGCACGCCCTTCCGCTTGCCGCTGAGTATCGCCGAGTGCTTCCTGTTAATGTGCGAATAAAAGGTCGACTTGTTGCTGCTCTCATAATCGCACAAGTTGCAGCGATAGATCGTCAGCTGCTGCTCCGCGCCCGTCGGATTCTGCTCGTCCGCGTTCTGCTGGACCGCGTTCTGCTCCTCGACGTTCCGCTCGTCCGCGTTTTCCTCGTCCGCGTTCCGCTCATCCGCATCCTGCTCGCTTTGGTGCACCAGATTCACGTGCATCTTGAACGCGACCATGCTGCGGTAGATTTTTAGACAGACCTTGCACTTGTATCGCGGCGCTCTCTTCTGGTGCACTGTCCTCCGGTGTTTCTTCAACATCTGCAGCAATGGGAAGCAGATGTTGCATTGGTCGCAGTTGTAGACCTTGCTGTCGTCGTCGTCGTCGTTCTCGTCCTCGTCGAGCTCTTTCTTCACCGGCGACTCGCTCTCTTGCTTGATTTTTATGGTGTAGACATTGCCTAACATGTCCGTGTACGTCATGTTGTCGTCATTGTCATTCGGAGTGATTACGGAGACGTTCATCGCGTCGTCGTCGTCGTCGTTGTTGTCGTTGACGACTCCCGACAAATGTTCATCGGTGGAAACCAACTGTTTCGAGTCGCATAGAATCTCCTCCTCCGTCTTTGGTATTTGATTGGCCGGAAGGAAGGCATAATAGGGATGCCCCGCTAAATCAACTATCTGCCACGGCATCATCCGGATTGATTCTTTGCCGTACAGAAAATATCCATTCCCGTTTATGACCCTGAAAATCATACAGCATGGTTAGTTGGAGATACCGTCGGTCGGGTCAGCAAAGTTCTTACAACAATGTCTCTACTTTTGCGATTCGACCCTTTTCGTGCTGATGTACAGACTAGGAGTCGTTAATCTTCGACAATTTTGAAGCTTCGAAGCTTCAAGTAGAAAATTCGAACTTTCGAATTTTGATAAGACGAAGCTTCGAAGGTTCCTTTTCAAAGGTCGTAATCTACGAAGTTTGGAGGCTTCGAAGAGTACAATCTTGCGAATGCTGTAAACTAATGTCTACATATATTTTATTCGGGAAATACTGAGGAATGTTGTAAATCGACTTTTGTAAATGAATGGATGTACCAGACACTATACAATTTAAAAGTCTTATAATGCTGATATTTCGAAAACTTTGAGGCCTCGATATTTTCGAAATTCGAATAACGAGCACCGAAGCTTCGGATCTTCGGAGATCCGAAGTTCGGATGTGTCAAAGCCTTCGAAAGAAAATACTAGCCCTAATACAGACTTTCGATACTTGATATAATGGTAATGAAGACTGTGTTTGGTTTTTTTGTAAACATAAATGGATTCAGGAATATGTTCTACGTAAAATCAACAACAAGAGAGCTTCGGATGTTGATGATTATTTATACATTATCCTCCAAAGATCCTCTCCATAGTCGCAAGGGTCACAAACGACGCGACAATGACGGTCACACAGTGGTGATAATAAACTCCCCGCGCTAATAAACAGGCAACTTTCGTAATAATATATAGAGACTCTTAATGCGCATTCAGGGAATAGCTAAATCACATTCTATCTCTCTTTCCCTTTCTATCTCTATTACACAACTAATTACATATACAGTAATCATTATAATCACATATATATATATATATATATATATATATAAAGAAACGGTTAAGCTTAGGGTACAAAGACGGTGCTCTAGGAAAATATATACCATATGAATATTCAAATTTAAGCACCTTCTGGCGATTATATTTACGGTATTATCGATCGATTGTGTGTTCGCTACGATTTTACACACACATCCGGGATAGAAACGCTTTCTAAAACAAAAAAAAAAAGAAGAGACAAAACATAAGAAACAACGTTTACAAATAAATTAACAAGAGACGGTCGAGTGTAATTAAAATTACAACAACCGTGCTGTGAGCGCAAAAAACACAACACCGAGATCTCTCCGTTCTATCGGGATCTTCGAATGCCAATGATTTCGTATGATTAACATAACGCGTAAATGAAACGAATTGAACGAACAAACGATAAAAAAATCCACTATTACAGACATAGTAACGAGGCTACATACGTGAAAGGATGTATCTTTACCCCGAATAGGCAAAGTTATAGAAGCAGATTTTGCGCAGTACCCGTCGCAAATTTTGTCGACCGTTTAAATTAATGAAATTATGCCGGTTTTGTTCACTGAACATGAGCTTCATTCGAACACAAATGGCCGTGGATCTGCTATGGTACGTCGATTGAATCCGCTACCAATCGGCGCACCGCTAGCATTTCGCCTGATTGGCTAATGAAACCTTGCGGCAAAGCGCGCGTCGCTACCAGATGCAAAAAGGTACATGTCAAGGACTCATTTGCACTCTCGTATGGCAAGCAGAAGTCCCTCCTCCGCCGCGGGCGATAATCGTCCTGTGCAACGGATCGTCGACACATAAACGCACACACACATACATCATATCACCAGATAAAAAAGTCACGTGCGACGGAATCGCCTCGATATCGCAGGACACGGGGAGAACGTCAATTACGTAAACACATTTTTCCACATCGAGTATTCACGACTCATCACGATCAGCTCCTCACGCGGACGCTCGGTCGCGTTCCTGTCAGGAGTTCATCACGTCATTCAAGATATGGTCGATGAGCACTCGCGGCAGCGGCGGATGCGAGCCCGGATGCGACTTCCGATGGCTGATGAGGCCCGGCTTCTGCGTGAAGGCCTTGCCGCAGATGTCGCACACGTACGGCCTGATGCCGGTGTGGATGAGCAGATGCTGCTTGAGCGCGGTCCTGCGCGCGAACGACTTGCTGCAGACGGTGCAGTTGTAGGGCTTGTCGCCGGTGTGGATGCGCATGTGCACCTTCAGCCGGCTGTTCCGCGAGAAGGTCTTGCCGCACTCCTCGCAGACGACATTCTCGCGGCGCTCGTGTTGCCGCAGCATGTGCTCGTTGAGGTTCTCCTGGCTAACCATCCGCCTCTTGCACACCTGGCACTCGTACTTGGCCTTGTAGTGCGCGAATTTCTGGTGCACGTACAAGGAGTTGCTGTTCAGGCAGGTTTTGCCGCACACGTCGCAGATCACCGGCTGCTCCCGGTGGCTGAAGCGGATGTGGTTGGTCAGGTCGCCCTTCACCTTGAACTTCTTGCCGCAAGTCTCGCAGGAGAACTTGAAGTCGTCCGAGTGCTTGCGCGCCACGTGCACCTTCAGCTCGTACTTGTTCTTGTTCTTGTAGTCGCACTGGCTGCAGTAGAACAACTCGGGCTGCTGCGCCTCGCCGCCGGCGAGAGCGCCGCTGCCGCCGCACGACCGCGGCTCCTTGTGCTTGCGTTTGATGTGGGAATACAGGGAGGACTTCTTGATGGTCTTGAAGGTGCACTCGTTGCACGCGAACACCTCGTTCTCCACCTTGTGCCGGCGCTTGTGTGAGTACAAGGTGCTCTTCTTCGAGCAGGTGAAGTCGCAGAGGTCGCAGCGCACCTCGACGCTCTTCCGGCTGTCCTTCCCCGGCTCGGCCGACGACACGTTCGCCGACGTCTCAGCGCAGACTTCCGTGCCGGCTTCCTCCTTGATCACCAGCTCGGAATCCTCGTGCCAGCTCGCCAACGCGGCTACCTTCTTGGCGACCTCGCGAGCGCGCGAGGTCGTCAACGCGGCCACCTTTTTCGCTACCTCGCGAGCTCGCGAGGAAACGACCGGCGGACTGGCCTTCTTCTTCTTCGGCGACGTGTGATTGCACCTGGTCGCTTTGGCTCTCGTGCTCCTGCTGGGGCCCCTCTTGGGCTTCTTGTGACTGTGGGCCAAGTGAGACGCCAGGCTGGTGCTCCGCTTGCACTCGAAGTCGCACAGGTTGCAGGCGAAACTGTTCGTGCTCTCGCTCCGGTGCTTCAGCATGTGCCTGTTGAGACTCTCTTGGCTTTGGCATTCGTAGCTGCAGATCACGCAAACCAGCTGCTTCTTGTTGT